CAGTTGCTACTGTACAGCGACCCTGAGTAAATTGTCCCAGCACGCTCACAGGGAACCACGATAAGCTGTCAGAGGGCACGCACAGAAAACCTCAGCTGCTCTTGTACAGGGACCGGCAGTCGATATCAATGTTATCGGTTGTTACTGGACAGGGCAGACGGCTAGAGTTGGGGTTCGTGTACAGTAGCAACTGCGGGTCCCCGTACCTACCTACCCTGCCCCCTGACAAGCCTACGGTGGGCCCTGATATGACTTAGGCGCCCATGGGCCCTGACAGGCCCGTGGTGCCCCTGACAGGCCTGTGGTGTCCTTGCTAGGCCTGTGGTGTCCCTGGGCCTTGGCAGGTCTGTGGTGCCCCCGGCGAGCCTGTGGTGCCCCTGCTAGAACGCAGGTGCCCTTGACAGGTTTGTGGTGCCCCTGACAATCCTAAAGTGCCAACGACAGGCTTGTAGTGCCCTTGACAGGCCCATGGTGCCCTTGCGAGGCCGGTGGTTCCCCTGCGAAGCCGATAGTGCCCCTGGCAGGCCTCTGGTGCCCCTGGCAGGTCTGCGGTGCCCCTGGAAGGCCTGTAGTGCTTTTGCTAGGCCGATGGTGCTCCTGACAGGCCTGTGGTGCCCCTGCTAGGCCTGTGGTACCCCTGGCGGGCCTGTGGTGCACCTGTCGGCTGTCAGGCCTGTGGTGCTCCTGGCAGGCATGTGGTGACCCCAGGCCCAAAGTCATGACCCATGGACCTCCCCCGTGAGATTCGCCACTGATAGGTACTGCGATGGCTTCTTGGGAGTTTGATACATGTAGGATAAATGGAATTTATCAAACGACAATAAGGAAGAGACAACCACATAGGTACTTGAGGATCAGCTTAAAGTTAACCACACATACGGGGGTGAACTGCCATTTTCGTTTAGTAAAAAAAATAAACAAAAAATAAAAAATGATCGTGCCAGGGCTGTGACGAAAAATAAGTGGCCTAAATCCGATGAGAAAACAGGATTTGGGGGTACCCTATAGGTTTGGCTCCTTGAGCTGGTGCCCCCCCCCCCCACCCCCCTGTCTCAAATCGTTCCGCCGCCTATGCAACTAAGTCCCTGAAACAAGTCCCTACCAGAAAACGTAAATTCTCCACCGGATTTGAACGGCAAACGTCTGACAATATTTATACGCCAAAGGAATATCCGCGTATTTGTTGCCCCATAAGATGTTCACTAACCCAGCAATTAAAGATACGCTTAAAAGGCAAGGAACATCAGCGACTGCAACTCCCCATAAGAAACTAGCAACATCTGTGACATGCCATCGCCTATTTAGCCAACCTTCGAGCTGCGTACCCCTCTGTGAGAACTGCATATCTAGGGCTGATGTAAAGAAGCATTGCTTCGTCTTGTCTATCCACATAATCTGGTCTGTCTCCCTATCCCTGTCTGTTTCGTTGACTGGCAGAGTGGCAGACATATTTATTGTCTAGTGTATACGTCTATGTAGTATTGGAGCCTATTCTTATTCCTCTAAATTGTCTGTTCCTTCAGTTTATATTTCACTGCAGGCCTACCACATGTTGCTTTTTCTATAGAAAAACAAACAAACAAACACTATAGTGTTTGTTTCTGTTTTCAAACCTGTCTAATAGTCATCAAGCCTGGTATGTTCGCCCTAGAAAGGCTAGTCTTATACTGTTCATGGCGTGGGGTAAATATACTATTCGCGTTCTCAATTCTCATTGTTTCTGTGGGATGTAGGCTGCTGGTGGACTAAACAACACGTAACGTTAGCAGATTTGCCGGGAAGTCGTTCCCTAGGCCGGTTGGAGGCCTTGCGATGACAAATAGCTCTGGTATTAACAACGGAGTGATGTTTTTCACCAAATATGCATGATTCAGGAAGTATGTTTTATGAAGGACAGATTCTCCTGGACGAATGAAACCGATGTATTTATGTCACAGAACAGTGACGTGAAATGTCCCAAAGTTCCCTGAAATCGCATCAAGTTCCGTATGCGGCCTTGTATTGCTGCATAATACATGAAGGAAGAAAAGCTCGGCTTATAGAAGACAAGTTTCCTGGGGAGCACTATTTTCGGACATGGCTTAACTAGATTATCGAAAAATGTGTGGTGAAGCAAACTTGGAGCATCAAAAGCCGTTTGTAGTTTGTACAACGGGCTGCCTGGCAGATGCGCAAAACTTGACCAGAACATAGCCATTTTTACAACAAATATCTTCATATCCTTAATTTATTTCAAAGTTCTATTCGAAAATAAGGTCTGAAATTTAACAACTCAGAAGCAACAATTACTATCAAAGCTGTCACCCTACTAAGCTCTTTGAACCTAATTTGATCAAACTGCCTCAATGTGACCAAATATCTACTCGTACATGCCACATAACGTTGTAGTGAAAACGGCTAATAAATAACCATGTACGTACGAGTAGCCACCTCGAGGGCGCTGGCTAGTCATAGAGGCGTGTCCATTGTTGGTTGGGATACGGCGGGCTGCCTCCACACATCCCGTCCAGCCAGCGAGCCCGACTCTCCCTAAAGTCACTGGCACTATTCATACCTAATTAACTGGAAGTAGTCTCGACATACCGGAAATGCCACCTCATTAGAGCCGAGAGAGGCGCCAAAAGTGCTCCCAAGAGGCAGCACAAAATGATATATGTATGTGTGAATTATAAATATTAATGCTTTATGAGAATTGAGAGATGTCACAAAACTCTTATGCTACGCACGGATCGAAACTTTTCATTAATAAATCATAAGAAAACACAGGGGCGGATCCAGAAAATCTCCAAGGGAGGGGCCATTAGAAACCAGGAGGCCCCCCCATAATCCCACCTGTTGGAGGCCCCATCTTCCCACTTGTTGGGCCCCCCCCCCCCAAAAAAAAAACTGCGTCTATTGAGCTTATCTAGCTGTTCAGGCAACATCTCAACATCTGTGCAGGCTTGGAGGCCCTCTGTGCAGGTTAGGAGGCCCTGTAAAAGTGGTCATCTCTGTGAGTATAAGAGACCTCCAAGCTATGAAAAGCTTTACCAATCTTCTAACAAAGAAGTCTTCTCAGCTAGTCTTCTAAGAAATAACTAAGTGGGTAGGTTAAAAAAAAAAGTCATCGGATTGCGGCCACTTTATTTTCAGGAGGCCCCCTTTTCAGCTTTTTAACTTTTTAACTTTTCATTTTATTTTTGAAAAAAATCGGCCAAGGGGGGGGGCCATGGCCCCCATGGCCCCCCCCCCCTTGTATCCGCGCCTGAGAAAACATATTATATAATCTTTCGCATAAACGGTCACGATTCGCGTCATCACTGCCTTGGGTCTTAGTCGCGCTCGCAAAACTCGACACAAATCACTTTCGGCAGAATATGCACCGTTGACCGTTCGGCGTTTGCAGTGCAGAAGTTAAATTCAGTCTCATCATTGGCCAAACGAAATGCAAGCAAAAACTAGTGATGCATTTTCAGAAATAGGGATAATCTTAAGCCATACTAAAGGGAATCTGAAGCCATAACTAAATTGAAAATGAAATACGCCAATGAAAAATAGATTCCTACCTAGGCATAGAAAAATGCCGAGAATCGTACCATTTTGAGAAGTGGAGCAAATCACGATCTAACACATACTTTGCTGCTATTCTGTTTAGACATTTTCTAATCCCTTGCGATCTAAAGACCCCTGCATTCTACCCTGACCCCTGAATCCCTTACATTATAGAGTAGTGGAATGACAGTTGTTGCCGACAAACTAGGCGAATGTCGCGCCGCCGATGCCAAGCCGAGCCGCCGCCGCGCCGCCCGTCACCCCGCCCCGCCGGTCCCGCCGCCGAGCCGGGCCGCCGCCCGCCCAGCGGCCACCTGTCGCCGCGCATGGCTTTTTCTGAGACAGAAGCAATGGGCCATATCGACGCCGCGAACGGTGGACTGGCGTCCCCCTGTGACCCTGCGACCCGGCTGACCTGTCACCTGTTCCGAATGGGGCCGGCGGGGCCCCGAGCCTGGGAACTAAGAGGGCGGGCGAGGGGACGCGGCGTGCCTGCCGCCTTTTTTGTGTGTAATGTCATGACCCCTGTATCGCATGACATTCTTGGCCGTGTATTTGAACCGATACCGGGCTCTGCTCGGTCTCACTTCACTGTTAGTCGCCGACGAGCTCACTTCGCTCTCAAACGCGGACGGCGGCGCTCTGCTGCCGCTCACGTCTAACTTTTCTAACTACTGTGTCTGTGCTGTACTGCTGCCATCTCGCCGTCTTCGGTCAATAGCGAACTCTTCTATTTAGAAGACTGTGTTTAAGTGGTGGTGGTGTGAGTGAAACCGAAGTGGCGAGTGGAGGAAAGGAGAGCGGCGCGCAGCTCACAGTTCTCACGGTGGCCGGGTCTACTCACTATTCCTATCAATCCTCTGTCATCCTACATTATATGCATGCCGCGAGGTGTGCTCCTTATGCGCTCTGAGACGGGCGCTGTTGAACGACCCAACATGCATGCCGCGAGGTGTGCACCTTATGCGCTCTGAGACGTGCGCTGTTGAACGACCCAACATGCATGCCGCGGGGTGTGCTCCTTATGCGCTCTGAGACGGGCGCTGTTGAACGACCCAACATGCATGCCGCGAGGTGTGCTCCTTATGCGCTCTGAGACGGGCGCTGTTGAACCTTTGATCCGTAAATTATTCATCCGTGTTTATTTATTTACCGATTAGATACTTCCCTTCTTCATTATTCGTTCACTGCCTCTATTAATCCTACATCCTCTCACAATTTCCCCCGGCCGCCAACCCGAATGCTGCGAGACGTAACAAACACTATACAGTCCACACAAGAAAGCCAGAGACGTCCGCAACATTCGCTGGTCCTCCGGGCCGGATGGTATCAGTCAAGAAAGTAAGAAGTCTAGAAGAGAATGTACAATAAGTCGATACTGTGCGTGAACAACCGTCCGTGACGTCGATAAGTTCTGCTCCCACCGTGTCAGTCGAATTGAGAAGTATCGTGGACCGATGGAAGACGCGATGGAGACGGAGCACCAGGAGACGACGCCTGAGAATTGCGAGCCTGCAGGGCAAGAGGAGACGGAGACGGAGGACCGGGAGACGATGCCAGAGAACTGCGACCCTGTAGGAGGAGAGGATGGAGATATCACCGCTGAACGGAAGGCATTAAAGCTTCATCGCGGTCGCAAGGCGGCCATGTTCACGCGCTCGTGTAACAGGGCTGACGCGCAAATAGCGCGGCGAGCCAGTGAAGAGGAATTGAAGAAGCGGCTCAAGACGCTGCACACAACGCTGGACGCCTTCATGGAGGCAAATGAGGAGTTCGTAGAGAAGTTGCAAGATGTGAGCGAGTTGGAAGAAGCGGAGGAGTACGCCACAAGAATAACAGCACGGCACGCCGAAACGGTCGCAAGAATTGAAGAGGCGATAACTCGCCCATCAGCGAGCCGCTCAGCGTCACGCACAGGAATGCTCCCCCTACCATCGGTGCAACTTGAGGAAGGAAGCAAAGTGTGCGGGTCTCACATATCAGGAGGCTCAAAGGCTTCAGCCACTTTCAAGGAGGCTGAAATCACCGCGGAATTGAAAGCTCTCGAACTAAAGCATCTCAAAGCAAGGAAAGAAAGAGAACGAGAGATGAGAAAGCAGGAAGATTTGCTGGAAGAAAGGGCTCTAGAAGAGGAGGTGGAACGTGCAGCTTTGAAGGCGCGTCTCTGGAAGGCAGCTGGCAACGAGTTGGAGTGGGAACGAAGACACGACTTTGAAGATGAGGTCGCTGTGGAAGTGGCGCCTAGTCGTCAAAACAACACCGGATGCGGCCGTGAGAAGGGAAACGAGCAAGAGCAAGAACGCGTGGTCAGTGGTTTGGGAGAGCTCCGGCGCGAGCCGCCGCCACCGAAAGCTACTAGTACCTCTCCGATGGCCGACGAGACGCCGAGAACTGCCAACCAGGACCCAACCAGCTGGGTGACAGCGTTGGGTTCCGAGCGGCGATGTGACGTCCCGGGCCCATCAGCATTCGTGAAAAGTATACCACGTCTGACGCTGCCTACCTTCCGAGGCAGCCCTCAAGAGTGGCCTCGCTGGATCGGCCTATTTAAGGCGCTCGTCCACGACCAGCCGTCTCTATCGGACTCAGAGCGAATGGCTCACTTGCAGAACGCCGTAGAAGGGCCGGCAGCCCAAGCTATTGAAGGCATGTTGTTCAATGGCAGCCTCTACCTGGAAGCTCTGATAACCCTACAAGAAAGATTTGGGAGAGAAGAAGACATCATCCAAAGTCACTTGAGGAAAATCTTCACTTCCAACCCACCAGCTCTCACGGATCTTCCAGCCATGGAAAAGTTCTACGCCATCGTTCATAACACAGTGACCGTCCTACAGAATCTTGGCTATTCAAGCGATCTGTCCAGTAGTGAGAACCTCAGGAGGGTAGTGGAGAAGCTGCCGAATGAGCTGGCCCGAGAATGGGGTCGTGAAGTGTTTCGGCTACGGCCAGAACGACCCACTCTGAAGACCTTCAGCGAATGGCTTCAGGTGCAAGTCAGCATCCTCAGCTTCTCGGCCGTCCAGTCCGGGACGTCGGAACGGAAACGTGCAACAGGCACGCAGCGTGAAGGAGTTGTACGGAGGACAGCGCTCACGACTGGAGCGACCCACGAAGCTGGAGAAGTGGAGCCACGTTCACCGCCGCCCTGTCTGGTGTGCAGTGAAAAACACAGGGTGACTGACTGCCCGTCGTTCAAGGGCAAAACATTGGAAGCGAGAATGGAAGTGGTGTACGAGAACGGTCTTTGCTTCTCATGTCTGAGGAAGGGCCACTGGACCAGGAGTTGCAGATCCTCTCGGAAGTGCGGAGTGAAGGGCTGCAAGCTCACTCACCACCCATTACTGCACAGAAGCTCAGGACACGCGAGGCATGAGGAGGGAAGCTCAAGGGAAGAAGACTCTCCGAGCGGATCCTCAACGGCTGCGGCACCACATCCGCAAGCTAAAGGAACGGGAAGCTCGCCGTTTGTAGCAGCCTCCCTCAGCGATGAGACCGACACACTGCTACAGGTCGTTCAGGTGCGCGTCCACGGAGCGACCAAATCAAAAGACGTCCTGGCGCTGCTAGATACCGGAGCGCAGACGTCACTGTGCAGCGCTGATGTCCTGCAGGAGTTGGGCATCACCGGGGACCTTCGCCAGCTCTGCATCCAAAATGTGGAGGGAAGCGGAGCGCAGAAACCCTCTGAACGCGTTACCCTGACAGTTAGCGCACTGGGCGATGGTGCGAAGAGAGGACACATCGAAATCCCTGAAGCCTGGGCTGTACCATCACTGAATGTGACAGCCCCCACGGTATCCCACCGCCAACTCAGGCAATGCGAACATCTCCGGGGACTAGAATTTCCGCAGTATGATGGCGGTGATGTGAAACTGCTGCTCGGAGGGAACGTGCTGGAAGCTGTTCTCCAACAGGAAGTACGAGTGGGTCGTTCCAACCAGCCAGCAGCTATAAGAACCGAGTTTGGTTGGGCACTGGCTGGTTCCATATCAGCGGTGGTGCCAAGCAGCCTGCGCCAGGTTATGTTCCTGCAGCGCAACGACCAGAGCAGCGACGACGACCTAGCAGCCTCCGTGAAGGACTGGTGGTCCACGGAGGCTTTCGGGACCAAGTACGACAAGCCTGTGGCACAGTCCAAAGAGGACGAGCGTGCGCTGTCAATCCTGAAGAGCAAAACAAAAAGGCTTCCAGACAGGTATGAAACAGGGATGCTCTGGAAGGAAGACCGGGTGGAGCTCCCCGACAACAGACGGATGGCAATGAAACGGCTCGAAGCCACGGAACGAAAACTCAAACGCAACCCCGACCTGGCCGGTGCGTATCGAGAAACATTGCAAGCCTACATACATGAAGGACACGCACGAAAACTTACGCCCGAGGAAGCGTCACAGCACAAGGGACGGAGATGGTTCTTGCCGCACCATGCAGTCACCAACCCCAACAAACCGGGCAAGGTGAGAGTGGTTTTCGATGCTGCGGCGAAATTTCAGGGCACGAGCCTGAATGACAAGCTGCTGACCGGACCAGACCTTCTGAAGAGCCTGCCGGGGGTGCTAATGCGCTTCAGGGAGGAACCTATCGCCCTAACAGCAGACATCGAAAAGATGTACCATCAAGTTCGAGTGACCGAGGAAGACCAGCCTTCACTAAGTTTCCTCTGGCGCGATTTAGACACAGCTAGACCGCCAGATGTCTACCAAATGCAAGTGGTTGTCTTTGGCGCCAAATCGTCCCCGGCAATGGCGAACTACGTGCTCCAAATGACGGCCCAAGCTCACCAAGAGCAAGCAGCCCCGGACAGCGACGTGCATGCTGCTGTGGCCGCCGTTTTCACCAACTTCTACATGGACGATTTTCTGAAGTCGGAGAGAACACCAGAGACGGCCATAAAGATGCAACGGGAGCTATCGAAGCTCCTGGCCTCTGGCGGTTTCCGACTGACCAAGTGGCTGAGCAACTCCAGGGGGGTTCTGGAAAGCATACCGGTATCGGAGCGAGCTCGAGGGAGCACGGACCTCGGCCTACAGCACCTCCCAGCGGAGAAGACCCTTGGCGTTATCTGGGACAGCGAGAAAGATACTCTGAGCTTCCAAGTCACGACCACAGAGGCCCAAGCTACCAAACGGGAAGTCCTCAGACAGACAGCATCGGTCTTCGACCCGCTGGGCATCGGCGCTCCATTCATCATCCGAGCCAAGATATTGCTACAGCACCTATGGACGCTGGACTTGAACTGGGACCAGGCACTGCCTGATCCGGAGGAGAGGAAGTGGAGGCAGTGGCGTGAAGAGCTCCAACGGCTGAAAGAAGTCGCCGTGCCGCGCTGCCTCAAGCCAGTCGAAGGGAAAGTTGTCAGCAGCCAGTTCCATGCGTTCTGCGACGCGTCGGAAACTGCGTTTGGAGCGGTCATTTACCTCCGCACTTCGCTGACGAACGGTGATCACCACTGTTCATTCGTGATGAGCAAAACGCGGGTGGCACCCCTGAAGCAGATGTCCATCGTGCGGCTGGAACTACAGGCCGCAGTGCTGGCGGCCAGGCTTATGGACACCGTGCTCAAGGAAGCAACAGTGGCGACGGAAGCGGTGACCTTCTGGTCTGACAGTAAGGTGGTGCTACAGTACATCGCGAACGAAAGCCGAAGGTTTCATGTCTTCGTAGCCAACAGGGTGGCTGAAATTCACGACCTGACCAGAAAGGAGCAGTGGCGTCACGTGCCAGGAACGCTGAATCCTGCAGACGACTGCTCAAGAGGGCTGGCCGCGTCAGAGCTAACGCCAGACTGCAGATGGCTCCGCGGACCCAGATTTCTGTGGCAAGATGAGGAAGACTGGCCATCAAAGCAAGACGCAAGCCCGCTCAGAGCAGGACAGGAAGAAGTGAAGGAAGAGAAATTCGCTGGACTCACACTCCAACGACAGCCCATGCTACCAGACGCCACCAAGTTCTCGTGCTGGCTCAAGTACCGTCGAGTGGCGGCCTGGGTGAGACGTTTCACTCACAACGCAGCCATGCGCGCCTCAGACGCTGAAACGCGCCTCAGCGGACCTCTCAGTGCCCAAGAGCTCAGAGACGCCGAAGTCTGGATCCTGAAACAGGCGCAGAGGACAAGCTATCCGGAGGAAACTCGCAGTCTGGCGCTGGAGAAAGAGCTCCCTGGGAAGAGTGGTCTACTTCCGCTCTCACCATACCTCGACGACGATGGCCTGATGAGAGTTGGCGGGAGACTGGGAAACGCGTCAGTCTCAAAAGATGCCCGACACCCGGTCATACTTCCCCCTCGAGGTGAAGTCACCCGCCTGGTCATTCTGCAGAAGCACAAGAACTGCGGTCACGCAGGCGTTGAGCAAACATTGAACGAAACCAGGCAGAAGTACTGGGTCGTGAGGGGAAGAGCTGCCGTGAAACGACTCCTGCGAGGTTGTCCCACTTGCCGGCGGCTCAGAGCACTCCCGAGGCCCCCACAAATGGCCAGCCTGCCTACAGCAAGGTTTGACACCGCTCGGCCATTCAGCAGTACGGGTGTTGACATGTTCGGGCCGCTATACGTGAGGCGATTCCGCAGGACTGAAAAGCGTTACGGACTGCTCGCAACATGCATGGCTACGAGAGCAATCCACCTGGAAGTGGTGCACAGCCTGGACACAGCCAGCTGTATCATGGCACTGCGGCGGTTCTTCGCAAGGCGAGGGAAACCATCAGTCATCTTCTCCGATAACGGGACCAACTTCGTGGGAAGTTGTCGCGAACTCAAGGCAGAGCTACGAGCCATGGAAAGGGAGATCGCAGAAAATCTCAGCGCCTTCGAAGTGGACTGGCATTTCAACCCCCCGGCTGCTAGCCACATGGGGGGAGTGTGGGAGAGGCTGATTCGATCGGTGAAGAGCACTCTGACAAAGGTGGTGGGTACACAGACGCTCACAGACGAAGTGCTGGTGACGGTGCTCACTGAAGTTGAGCACATGGTCAACAGTCGACCCCTGACCCACGTCAGCTCAGAGCCGACAGATCCAGAGGCTCTGACGCCAAATCACTTTCTACTCGGTGGTGCCTCGAGGCATCTCGCGCCAGGACTCGTGAGAGACAGAGACATGTGCAGCCGACGCCGATGGAAGCATGTCCAAGCTGTGGCGGAACATGTGTGGAAGAGGTGGACAAGAGAGTACGTGCCGACTCTCATCCAGAGGAGCAAGTGGCGCAAAGAGCAGAGAAACCTTCAAGTCGGGGACTTAGTGCTGATGGCAGAATCAAACATGTCTCGGGGCTCGTGGCCATTGGCACGCATCTGTCGCGTGTTTCCTGGAGCGGACGGTCGAGTCCGGTCGGCGGAGCTTCGGACGGCTAGTGGGAAGCTGTACACGCGACCATCTACTAAGATCTGCTTCCTGGAAGAGGAATGCAAGTGAATCTGTGCAGACGGGGAGAAGGAGGATGTCGAGAAGATGAAGGAAGACGAAGAAGGAAGAAGACGATGAAGTAGAGGACCACAAGTGAATTGAAGCTGAGAACGAGACGAATCGAGAGGAGAAAAGTCAACGCATGGCGAGCGAGCGCCGTGTTGGTCGGCCTGGTCTGGCTTGGCTTATTCGCTCGGCAAATGTCTGATGTCTATGTGTGCCGCTTACTAGTGAGTAGTCATAGGAATAGCGTATGAGAAGTTTGTCGGTCATTTGGGTGTGTTCGGAACGTACGACCGAACACAGGGGGGAGTGATGTTGCCGACAAACTAGGCGAATGTCGCGCCGCCGATGCCAAGCCGAGCCGCCGCCGCGCCGCCCGTCACCCCGCCCCGCCGGTCCCGCCGCCGAGCCGGGCCGCCGCCCGCCCAGCGGCCACCTGTCGCCGCGCATGGCTTTTTCTGAGACAGAAGCAATGGGCCATATCGACGCCGCGAACGGTGGACTGGCGTCCCCCTGTGACCCTGCGACCCGGCTGACCTGTCACCTGTTCCGAATGGGGCCGGCGGGGCCCCGAGCCTGGGAACTAAGAGGGCGGGCGAGGGGACGCGGCGTGCCTGCCGCCTTTTTTGTGTGTAATGTCATGACCCCTGTATCGCATGACATTCTTGGCCGTGTATTTGAACCGATACCGGGCTCTGCTCGGTCTCACTTCACTGTTAGTCGCCGACGAGCTCACTTCGCTCTCAAACGCGGACGGCGGCGCTCTGCTGCCGCTCACGTCTAACTTTTCTAACTACTGTGTCTGTGCTGTACTGCTGCCATCTCGCCGTCTTCGGTCAATAGCGAACTCTTCTATTTAGAAGACTGTGTTTAAGTGGTGGTGGTGTGAGTGAAACCGAAGTGGCGAGTGGAGGAAAGGAGAGCGGCGCGCAGCTCACAGTTCTCACGGTGGCCGGGTCTACTCACTATTCCTATCAATCCTCTGTCATCCTACATTATATGCATGCCGCGAGGTGTGCTCCTTATGCGCTCTGAGACGGGCGCTGTTGAACGACCCAACATGCATGCCGCGAGGTGTGCACCTTATGCGCTCTGAGACGTGCGCTGTTGAACGACCCAACATGCATGCCGCGGGGTGTGCTCCTTATGCGCTCTGAGACGGGCGCTGTTGAACGACCCAACATGCATGCCGCGAGGTGTGCTCCTTATGCGCTCTGAGACGGGCGCTGTTGAACCTTTGATCCGTAAATTATTCATCCGTGTTTATTTATTTACCGATTAGATACTTCCCTTCTTCATTATTCGTTCACTGCCTCTATTAATCCTACATCCTCTCACAATTTCCCCCGGCCGCCAACCCGAGTGCTGCGAGACGTAACAAACACTATACAGTCCACACAAGAAAGCCAGAGACGTCCGCAACAACAGTGTAGCTATGGATGAACGGTGCTCCTCTACCAACCGAGGGCCTTTCCCGCACAGTAACGACATCTATACGGTGTAAACCTGATGGCTGCGGTGGCGCCACAGAAACCGAGCCTCTGTATCAAAGTGAGCACGGTTAGGGGGCATCGCTAGGAGCTCTCGGAGGACGGCTTTCGCTTTTGTATTCTGACAGCGAAGTGACGGCTAACAGCTTCAACTAACCACCCTGTGGTGTCTCAGCCAGCTTCGCCATATAGGGCGGGGAAAGGGTAACACCAATTAAACTAGTAGGAAGGCTAGTAAGACGCAGAAAAAGCAATATGTAGCTCTCTACGATTTGATTTGGAAGCGTACAATTCATTTTTCGCTCAAGTCACCACTGAGGTCAAGTGTGATATAAAGACGAAATTTTCCCGTAAAATATTCCCTGACTTAAGCAATTTTCATAAATCGGCGCATAACTCGTGGATCAAAATTTACATAACAGCGCTTTCTATACCTCTTTCAAAGTTCTCTCGCTAGCACGTCAAAAACGAGGGTTTTTGGCAGACAGAGGACAGCCCAAATAGACGGATTTTGTAGAAATAGTATGTCTGCAGTAGCTTTAACGTCAATCATTGCACGACATTTATCTGACCACCATCGTGTTTCTCTCTTCGAAGTTCGAGACGCGTCGATGGGAGTCAACTGGAGAATTTGACCTCAGGTCAAGTTGATGACCTGACCAAAAATGACCATATTGCATATAAATCGATCCGTATTCTTGACCTGATCACATACCAGGAACTCTAATTGTTCTATTATGTCTCTATCAAATGTTATTGTCGGAAGACTGCGAGATCTTTTATGACCTAAACACTACCTTTTAACCTGCGCCCCGCAGGGGGTCCTGGATTTCCACGCCATGGCTCCAGCTGTGTGTGTGTGTGGGGGGGGGGGCGTTTGAATACTCCCCCTTCAAACTTGGCTCCTGGGCCACGTAGCGACAAGCCGTTAGGCGGCGTCCTCCGGAAGAGCAGATAAAACCTCGATAGTTTTCGACAAACCGGCGCATAGCTCGGGAACGGATAGAGCTACAAAAGCGCATTCGATAGCTCTTTTAACAGTCTTTCTGAATAAATCCCTCAGATTTGACCTTAAGTCAATGGTTTAGCCTTCAGGAGGCAAAAACGGCCAAAATAGACGTTTTTTGCGTTAACAGTCAGCATTGTACTCCTCTATTCAAGACGCATAGAATGAACTATAAGTTGACCTCGAAAGGTCAACTGGAAAAATTGACCTAAGGTCAAGGTCACGACCATACCGGAAAAGGACATGCCGCATATCAGTCGATCCGTATCGTCGAGCTGAACACATCTAAGGTGTTTTCATCAGTCTGGCGTACCTCTATCAAAAGTTATAAGCGAAAAACTGTTAGATGCCATTGTGACCTGACACCACCTCAGGGACAAAACGGGGGTCCCTGTGCCATTTTCCGGTTCAGTCACAGTGTGTCATGTTTACTTGTAATTCGATCTTTGAAAGTATTAAAAATGGTGTTCGTCCAAAAAAGGCGCCTTTTAATTTTCTCCTACTGACTTATAATCGAGAGGTTGCCAATTGACCTGACCGATACGAGTATAAACCGATATCAAATTCACCGATATCAAATTTCTGAGATAAACGTTTTGTACGTACTGCTGCCCTTGCCAATTGCTGAAAGTTTCCAAGTGATCGTTCACTCGGTGTAGCTATGGCAGGCATTGCAACTTTTTATGAGGTGAGTTCACTTGACATGACCTTGTGACCTAACTTTCAGTGACCTTGATCTGAAATTTACACAGCACGTCAAAAAGATTGTGATGAAGTGTGACAAAAACGGCGCTGCGCGCCATTTTTTCTAGATATTTGCGAAAAACCGGAGGGTTGTTAAAACACGAGCGGGTTGAATGATGAGTGATGATGGAGAAATGTAGATGGAAAGTTTCGAAATGTTCATCATAGACGACAGAGTCCATCCACTCACGGCGGCTGCTCCTACCAATAAAAAAATCATACCAACCAAGAATCATATTGATCGAACGCCTGAGGGACTCAAATACGTTTCAGTTCACTTCATTTCACAAGGAAGCTAATGTTCTACCAAATGAACTATCAGACGGGACTTACGAAAGAACAAACAGTGGCGTCTCACCTTTCAGAGAGAATAGGCGGCCGTTCAATCCATGTAGCTCGTCGACTGGGCTCCAACCGCTTAGTCTGTAGCTCGTCGACTGGGCTCCGATCGTTCAGTCTGTAGCTCGCCGACTGGGCTCCGATCGTTCAATCCATGTAGCTCGTCGACTGGGCTCTGATCGTTCAGTCTGTAGCTCGCCGACTGGGCTCCGACCGTTCACAGTTCAGTCTAAAGCTTGGCATCTGGGCTCCGGTCGTTCAGTCTGTGTCTCGTCGGCCAGGGTTCGACCGTTCAGTTCGCAGGTATTCGACAGGTCTCTCCGCCCGCGCACTTAGCTGGACTGTCACCTTTCCACACCGTCCCTCGCCCGACGCCGTGCGCCTGCAGCCGCCGCCCGCCCCGGGTCACGAGCCTGACCTGACGGCGCCCGGGGCCACAGGCAGTCGACCGTCTCCATGGTAACGTAGGATAAGGAAATAATATATTGTTTTATATGCATAAAAGAGGGTGTCTACGGGCACTAGAAATTTATAGTGCTACGTAAAAGAGGGTTAGATTGTCCCTAGCCCGACCATGTAGAAAACGCAATTGCACGAAAAATATCTAGCCGCTCACCTTCGGTGCTTAGCGGGACAGCCTAACGTTTCGGTAAGCCACTGTGCTTGGAAGGAAAGATCTGTCAGTACACAGGCAGAGGCGTTTATCGTAAGAGGGGTTGTTGGTGAGTTTAGTATTACGTCATCTTATGAAGTCGTGTGTGCCATATGACATATGACCAGCGAGGATGAAAGTGCAGCATATGAATAATGATTTTTGGTTTGTATATTGCGCATATGTATATATCATGTATGATTAAATTACATGTTAATTTACATTACAATTGAAAACGCTCTCTCTGACTGATAACGTCATGAAAATAATAATAATTTGGTTAAACCTAATAATACACATTATATAACAACAACATATAATTATGAAGTGATTCTCATAAGCAGTCAGTTTTTTTTGCCGCTTATAGGTTTTCTCATTGATTGCAATGTAATATGACGTCAATGTTCCAACGAGGACCTGTGATCTGGACCTATGACTAAGCCTATGTGATGGGTCAGAACTCAGTACTAGGAGCAGCAGGATCATTTGACGACATCGATACGCATAGAATTTCTGGAAAGGCTCAGCACTTTGGCCTAAATATTTCTCGCATTTCTGTTCCCGTCCTGACAGCATGAATTGATGTTGCGTTACATCTAAAGGGATCTTGAGTGAGCTCTTCTGGGAAAAATTCCATCTGAATGCCGGCAGCAGGTAGACCTCCCATGGGCCAAAGAGATACGTCAGTGACGCATTAAGACACGCCGCTGGCAAATGGTCTCCGGTGTTTATTTTTAAGCTGTCTATTTGTGGTGTTCTAAATGCTGCTACGGAG